CAGTTGAATAAAATGTGATGACAAAATGCCAGTGACTGATAAATCTTTAATATAAAAATTGTACAAGAATTCTGATACAAATTACAAGAGGTATTTGGACAAAATATGAATAAAATTCCATTTACATCCCAAAACCCTTATGCATTTTATGCAAAAACCATAGACAGTTATGATACAGAAACAAATACAAGAAAGGCAAAAAGGAAAGAAAAAAAAAAGAAAAGAGTCTTTTAAAAAGAGGACCATTTTTTCCTCCTGTCTGCAAATGGGAAACACCTGTTTAGGTAACGTACAGTATTCATGAGGCTTCCAAATCACCATTTTGACACCAAAGTGATACAAGCTCCTCTGCTGCGTTTGTTCTTTGCAGTGCGACTATGTAGCCATGCAACGCTGTCGAGTGCCAATGCCATAACACAGGCTTTTTAAGACACAGACACAAATGCATTGGATACACAAAAACACAAGTGAAAACAAACAAACAAAAAAAAAAATCTAAATTCACCAGGTCTTCAAGCTTATTTATACTTTAAGACTGTAAAATATGATTGGCACAATGGAAAACATCTCATGAATTTACAGTATTTTTTTTCAGGATCACTGACATTTCACAGGTTCCAGTTCAGATTAATGAGGGTTTTTTTTTTTTTTTAGAGTATAACACATGAGACTGAAGCATCTATACAAACCCACGCATGTGTGTATTTTTCTTCTATCTGCATATATCGTATGATGTCCCATCAAACATTTGAATCCCACTTTGTTCCATGAGCTACATTAACTGGACAGTTTGCTTGCCGTGTCACCTCTCATCCTCACTCACTCAGTGACGTGAACAAAACGGACAGTGATTAACAGGTCAGCCGCTCCGTCTCCTTCTCCCTCTGTGTGCTATGTAGAATTACAGAATAATTGATGCCTGACGCTCCTCTAATCAAATATTAAAGATTCACTCCAGTGGTCTGGGCCAATGAGGCGCTCTGAGTGACGCGCTCCTGCCGTCCCACAGCCCGGTCACTAGGTAGCAGAATGCACCTGGGCCCGTGTGGTCGGAGAAGTAAGAAAGACAAAGATTGGATTGGGGGCTTTCTCCGAGGAGTGGCGGAAATTGGTGGTCATTTCTCAGAGGAGAGCAGAGTGTAGGGGAGAGGGGTGGAAATGTGAAGGGGTGGCTCGATCGCTCTCCAGCAGGCAATCAAGAAGAAGCTGCCGATGAGTCCTGGGGAGTCCTGGCCCTGCTGCTCTCGTGCTCTCTTCCCTCCCTGTGTTCCTCTCTTTCTCCCCTGCCTTGTTAAGTGACTGCCGCAAGGCTCCAGCCAGACCACTTCCTACGCCCAATCCCTTCCCTTCATCTCTCCCTTCTCTCTCTTGCCGTCTGTCTCCCTGGCTATGCTGGACAATCGTTTGTGTGTTTTCTCAGCTCTGTTTCCAGCGTCTTGCAGCTCAGAGCTGTGCTGGCATGACCAGCACCATGCAGGACACAGAAGGAGCCCGTAGGGGGTAGGAGAAGGGTGTTGTAAGGGAATCTCTTCTATGATATTCAGCTTTCTGTCTGGCGCACACAAGTACACAGATAGAGGGGTCATGCACTGCAGCTGCTGCTTCAGAAACAGACAAAGTACAGAACATAAGGAATGTGTAAAAAATAAATAAAAACAAGTCAGAAAACTTGTTTTTTTTTTTCTCGGATCAAAAAGGGCATAAAAGCTTGAGCTTATTGGGCCTGACATATTTATATTAAAATAACTTTTAATGTTGGATATGTTCAGCTCTCAATTCTAGTGAGTTCAAATCAGTCTGTGAGCTCGCTGGACTTGTTCATCATTTAATCTCTGTCTTTAGGTAAAATGTCACAAAGTATCAGCTATTAAACATGTTGGGATATTTAGAATGAAATAATAATAATGATAAGAGATTTGGACTTTCCATGCCTGACCATTCTCCATAATGGAGTGTTAGCTTTCTGTGTAGTGGCAAAGCCTATAATGTTAATACTAGATGGAAGGTTTCATACTATTTTTCTCTGCCTCTGTCTCTTCCATCGCTAGAGGTTAAGAAGTCATCTAGTTCTTGTCATCCTTCTGCCCTGTAAGTAGGAAGCATATATGAGTGTGTGCCACTCTCCTCCGTGTGTGTGTGTGTGTGTGTGTGTGTGTGGTTGTGTGTTAGAGAGACAGCTGTCAGCAGGGTTCCTGGAGTAGCACTTTTTTTATTTCTGCCAGAGCGAGGGCCGCGGGGATTGAATGAGTGAATGAGGCTGCAAGCGCCTCAGTGAAACCCACTCCTGGGAGAAGGCAGGGGTTCCTGTACTCAATTTTCCCTTCACTTGGGATAAACAGGCAATTACCCATCCCTTTTTCCTATGCCATGGCCGTCCGGTGAACTTAAGCATACACTATTAGTGTGTGTCCCTGTAGGACCTGCGCTGTGGGGTGTGGAGGTGGTAAGTGAGTGGCGGGCTGAAGAAATGGGTAAGGCGGTTGTTAAATGACTGTGTTCTGAGAGACAAAGCGAAAAAACCAGAATGAGGTTGAAGGAATTGAATTGAATTACCACCGACCCTGTATAAGAATAAGCACGTGTAGAAAATGAATAGACAAATTGAATTCAACTAAATTGAATGAGTCCAATTGAATTGTTGAGAACGCACACTCCGTCCTTCTTTTTTCTCTCTCTGTCAGTGTCACAGTCATGTCAGCAGCCTTGGCGTCTGGCAGTGTAACGAAGTGACAAGTGAGATATTAGACAGAAGAAGCTGGAATGGCAGGGACGCCTCCAGGTAACGGGAGAAGCAGCACATTTTTAATGATCGTTGCTGTCATCCTTTCCTCCCTAGTCAGCCTTCCACCTCCGCAACCTTTCCATCAGCCTCAGCTCTCTGTCTCGCTTTCTTTATCTCTGAGAAGAGTGGACTGAAAACTGCATGTGTCATATAGGTGGAGTCATAAAAAAGACATGAAATATTTCTTTAGAATAGGTCATGTCTATATTGCAAAATGGTTTAAGTATGAAACAAATGGAACTCAACACTGTTATGGATGTAAGGTGTTGTGAATACTTTACAGCACACTATGTAACACTGCATATTTTTCCCTCTGTGTGTAGCACCAGTCAAGTAAGAGAAGATCTCCTTGTATAGTAACACATGGCATTGCTAATACATCGATAAACAAGTCAAACTGAGGAACAATCTCTATTTTTTGTCTTTTTACAAAAAATATTCTTATACTGGACAAAAACATCTCCATGAAGATACATCACCCACCAATAAATACCCCTTCCCGTGGCTACTTTGCCCAGTTACTGGAAATATTTGTACCGTAAGACAGTCATGGACATGTTAAAAATGGCTGCAACCAACAGCCAGGAAAATGGCAACATTTTTCATAGATTACATTTGTAGCTGACACTCAGCAATGGAAACCGTTACCAAAAATATCACAGCAAAAGATTTAAGACTCAAGTGCATCATATTAATCCAATGGGGCATGATTTAAGTACAATGTCACACTGAAACAGCTTTTTTTTAAGCAAACACTTTTGTTTTGGTCACAGTTGAAGGACTATTTTCATCTTTTTTCTCTTTTTTTCAAATCTACGGGACAGTCGTATTTCATTAAGATGCCTTTTGTGAGAACAAACATGAGCTCTTGCATTGCTAACTTTGACAATTTCACAATAATGTCATGCTTTACACAGATTACCTCACTATACCGCCGAAGTAATTATAGTGATCATAACTGGTAACGATACACAAATTTGATCAATATTTAACTCCTTTGTGTTTGTGAAACAGCAGTTTATATTCAGTCACACCTGGATTAGTTTTGAAGCAAGACACTTTGGAGACACTTTCTGAATACATTATTTTTTTAGAGATAGGGGAAGATCTCAGGCTTTGTTCAGGGACGTTTTCTGTTGTGAAACTGTGTTTGAAACAGAGCACGTGCAAAAAGAAACTGGCACAAGTATGTTGAAGGTACTGTCATTTCCCTTGGCACTGTAGCCATCAATGACCCCAAACAACACCTAAACTCACCATTGCAAAACTCCTCATTATAATAATATTACACATCCCCTTGTATAGATGCAAAGTGCAAAAACTGAATTAGTATACTAAAGCTCATAAACATAACAGACAAAAAAAAAAAAAAAAAAAAAAAAAAAAAAAAAAAAAAAAAAAAAAAAAAATCAATAGAAATACAGAGAATGATATCAGTGTAGGAGCCTAAAAAAGCATGCCGGCAACCTCTGAATACCTAACAAGTAGATAAAGCAAGTCACATGATATTCTTTTTTTCCTAGGACTCAGTTTAAAACATGTCTTTGAAGCTAACATAAATGAATCAAGCTAGTAAGATGCTACCTCTTTCTTGCCTATAGCTGGAAGTATTGTACTGGACTGTAACATAAAACCATAAAGAGAGAGAAAAAAGAAGCAAACAACCATCAACACAACTCTTTTACACCAAAAGCCTCTTGGGACATTATTTACAAATGAAGCTGTCATGCTTTTGTAAGGGGTTCATTTAAAAGCTATCATTACACAAATACAACAAGAAGATTTTCTTTTTTTTTCTCAATACTATCATTTCTGCAGGCAAAGTCACAAATAAGAGTTTGAATAGATTCTTTGGAGACGGACATAAAAACAAAGTGGGGAGAAGTTTGAAAAGGAAAGATGGAGGGGCTTATGAAAAAAAACAAACTGGAGTTTTGTTATAAAGCAAACTCCGTACTCGAGTGTCATCCTGTTCTTCCAAAGAAGGAAAAGTCAAAGGTCACAATAATAAACTGTATTTAGAGTCAATGAATTTTATAGAGGGACATAGAAATGTCTTGCAATGACTTACAGAGGACGGGCAGGAGGCATACAAGCACTCAGCTTGTATTTGATGGCCCTGGGCTGGGGTTAAAAGTTAATTTGAGGAGGAATAAGGATGAGGAATGAAGGGAGGAGCGGGCAGACTGACAGGAGGGGTCGAGTAGAAAGTCATTATTTAGTCTATTATTGTAGAGAAGGGCATGTTTTTATGGAGGTTGGGGTTCTGAGAGTGTCGGTTACGGCTGCGCACAGAGCTGAACACCATGTTGCAACCGGGGATTTTGCACTTGTGCATCTCTCGCAGGTGCACAGTCTTGTAGTGCACGCGCAGGGTCCCTTTGTTGCTATACATTTTGTGGCAGATGTTGCAGAGGATCCCACTGCTGCCACCAATACTGCCCCCGGTGGACGAAAGGAGGAATGGTGAGGAGGAAGATTCCAACCCCTCACCATGTCCTTCTCCTCTTAGTTCTCCAGTCTCATCCCGATGCCCCCCTTCAGCTCGCCTCTCGGCACGCTGGGAGCAGTCCTCCCCCTCGCTGTTACCCTCCTCCTCATCCTCTTCTCCCTCCTCCTCCTCCAGGTCATCCAACAGGATGCCTTCATCGCTGCCCTCATCTGACTCGTGTGAGGAGTGGACACTGCTGCTGGACTGGACACTGGATGTGGTGCTCAGGTCCAGCACCATGTAGTCATCTGGCTGGCCCTGGGAGAAGCCGTTGGTGTGGTGATTTTTAAAGTCGTGGTTGAGAGGGTGGTGGGGATACTCATTGCTCATGGGGGAACGGGCATGGTGGTTCAGGCCGGTGGGTCCGAGGCTAGCGCCTCCGATGCCCATCCCAGTCATAGGGTCCAAGCCCATGTGGTGCCCGGCGTAGATCTTGGCCAGTAACTCGGCTCGCAGGTCCTTGGGCAGTGGCGTGAGTTGGGGGTCCAGGACAATGTCGTCCAGCTCTTTGGTCAGCAGTTTGCGGTGCAGGTTGATGTTGGAGCTGTGCCTAATGTGGGCAAACATAAGATTGTTGTGGATCAGAATACAAATACAAAATTCCACAGTGTTGAAATCCATGTATTTGTACTTTAAATAATTTATTTTTCATATTGTCAAGTTATCTCGACATCTATGAAATGGTAGACTATAAAGATTCAACATCTAAAAACCACTACATATGTAATTCATTATTCTTACGTATCAGTTGAGATACACAGACATTCACACACAGAGAGAAATCCACCCTGCAGCTCTCCTCAGAAAAGTGCACCCTGCTAGTGTTTACTGCTGTCAGCATGTCTGCACTGCACAGCCCTCAAATCCAATAGACTCTGACTCAATTAAATACTCCACCATATTGAATGGGAGTTTATCAATTGATTCGAGCTGTGGTAATGTGATAATCGAGAGGAACTGGATAGCATATTAGCACTAGGCCCTGACAGCATTATCGCATTCGCTCCCTATTGGAGGTGGCTTAATCGAGCACCTCAATGAACATGTCTTTATGTAGCCCTGTATTTCATTAAGGCTGGCATTTTTCCCAAACACAAGGCAAACTGTATCACACAATGTACTACAGCTGATGAAAGAAACTAAGTGCCATGCTTAAGCCAGGATACGATTAGTGAGGATTTCTGTACATACAAAGCCATGCTAAAGGATGCAAGGTGAAATGGGCTTGAAAAATCAAATTCAGTGCCTTCTTGCTCCAATTTCACAGTTGCCAGTAGTCAGACTAAGAAAGAGGGGACCCACGGCACACATGTCACAATAAAACTGCATAACACATAAAGGAAACTTAAGCAACTAATGACCGGTGTCAGATATGACATACACAAGGCCCACTCCTCTCATATCAGGTCAGCACTTAAATCAAATAAGAAAATATGCAAACACTCAGTGCCTTTTAATGTGAAGGGTTTCCATGCAGGGAGGGCACGTGTGAAAAACAAAACAAAAATTGAAAAAAAATTGAAAAAAAAAAGACAAGGGTCATCCTTAGCAGGACGGGCAAAAATGGAGTCACAATGGATAGTAGAGCTTACCAGCAGTGGCAGGGTTGATGCAGTCAAAAAGGGTCCCTTTCCTTTAATTATTTACTTCCCTATCCGACATTGTCCTGCAAGAGGTAAAAATACATTCATTTGAGGGACCCTTTTCTGTGAACCAAGCAACCAGGAGCCCGTCCACTCGAGCATCGTCAGCATTGAGGAGAGAGAGAGCGTGGCAAATCGATTGGCTGTGGCTGTCACAGTACATGTGTGTGTGTTTGCACGTGCTTGTGTGTGTGTGTGTGTGTGTGTGTGTGTGTGTATGTGTGTGTAAAACAGAAAATATACTACCTCCATATAGCAGGATTCGATCAAAAAGACTGTATAAATCCTTTGTTCTTTTTTATCCTTTGATAGTACAGTTGCACCCATATGGTGTTAGCTTATGGCTAGAGTATGGGAGTCATGATTCAGTGTCTGTAGTGCTGTATCCATGTCTAGTCATATACATGTGTGGACGCTTGGCTCTGAGAGGCCAGAGTGCTTCAAGAATGTCTGAAAAATGCCATAATCAGTGATCAATAAATGAGAAAATGGACACAATTTCTGCAGGGATACCAGCCAACAGGCTTTGATGTGAGGAGGGGCCATAGATTTGCTCTGTTAAGCCTGAAATTCAGGATGCTGTTGATGATGCTCAAGTAGGCAGGTCCTTTGCAACATGTCTCCATCTCTAAAACAACACCTTCTCACTGCTAATAAGCTCTAAGTTAACCATCGCTATCTCAGTTGTAAGATACTAAAGTCAAACATGCTAAATATCATGCAGTAAGTAGTCTGCGCTATAGCTACAGTTGCCATTTTAAATACTCAAAATGCACACCACATTGTCAGAATATTACAACAATATCTAAATGAAAAATATTCACAATTACAACTGCAATCTCTTTATCCATTTTACAGATATATGCAAATAAAATAGATGGAAGAAGAAAAAAGTCACTTTATGAGATATCATTAGTAACCATTTGGAATTTATTTTCATCTCAATATCTGAAGAGGAGAGAAAGAGTCCAGTTTAGGATTATTTGCATAAACATTATTGAACTACTGTGTCGGCACCGCTGCATGGCCCTAAATAATCAAAATAAGTCAGCTGAATCTTCACACAGTGGGCATAATGCACTTACCCCTTCATTTATCAGATTTAGACTTTCTGCCCCATTTCCCAATCCCCTCCATCACTCCACCACCATCACTCCACCACCTCAGTATGCTCTGTCTTTCCTCCCCCAAACCCAACTCCTTATCCCCTCCCCACCCCCCCCACCCCCCATCTCTGCCTCCCTGTTGGCCAGTAATGTGGCTGGCAAACCAATTTGACAGTCTCATCTTCGCCCAAAAGATGGGGGAGGCCTCCAGAGAGCCCAGTTTTGACTGTGCAGAGGAGGTAGAGCGAGAGTGTGCCATGTCCCAACCGGCGTTAATCATCTGATGGCCCTTGCCCTTGTTTTTGTGTCAGTGTGTACATGTGTGTATAGGTGTGTGTGTATGTGTGTATGTCGTCTAAATGACTCATAATGCGTAAATGAGATAGAAAGCTGAGTGGTATTAAACTGACACCAGTGGTTCTTTGTCTTTCCTGTCATTTGGGGTGCGTTATGAGGTTTTGGGTGTAAGTGGGAGGACAAGAGTTTTAGTAACATTTATCACTCTCTGCCACTGTTATATCTCCTTTGCTTGTTTAATTCTGTTCAACAGCACAAGCTGCAAACAATGATTTGAGTATCCTCAAATAAAAGAGTGGATAGTCATTAAATATGCATGAAAAACATTTTTATGTACAAGTTATGATTTAAAATTACTTGAAATTCCGTTGATGCCACTGTGCTCGTGTGGGTGTCTATATGTTATTCATCTAAGAATAAAATATTTCCCCTTATTCTTCTCAAAATACATCACAAGAAAACTGTCAATGCTAAACCAAAGGGATGTAATATTTCAAGTTTCCGTCTTTTGATCAGCAGATAATATTCAACTGGGGTGAGTGCCTTTTGCTAACATATTCTCTCTATGAGCCGCGTGCCCTTTGTTTATAAGAGACAAACAGAGAGCTGATTGTGGAGCAGCGGAGCCGGGCCCACATGCTGTGTGGGGACCGAGGGAGACAGAGAGAGGAAGGAGAGGGAAGGAAAGAGCCTCTCCAACATAATTAACCTTCACTCTCCGTTTGCAGTGGCCCGTGTGGGGACGACGGGCTGTGCACTGTTGCACCATGAGAACGTGGATGAGGGAGGACACCTACTTGGTTTAGCGATATAGAAGGAGCAGGTTAAAAAGCTGGAGTGAAGGTTTAAAAAAAAAAAGAAAAAAAAAAACTAAAAAGAAGAAGCAGGATAGGCTGATAAAAATGAGATAAGTAAGGCAAGTCTTGTCACCAGTTTAAAAAATATGATTAACGTGACTAATAATGGTGATGATTACTTGTATACGCGCCTTTCCAGCAGTTAATCATGCAGCGTCTTCAACACTTCTGCCGACGCTGCTCGCTCCCCACAATAAATATGCAATCATTTACCTCCATGCAGCAGGCGGCTAGGAGGCTGCGAGAAAACACCCCACTGTAAAACCACACACGTGCGTGCACACGCACACACTTATGTTGCTCTCTGTTTTACACTCAAAAACACACACGTTACATGTTTGCTCAAGGGCACAATGAATAACCCTCTCCTGTATGTATGCGTGTGTGTGAGAGAGTGTGTGAGGACGTACGAAATTCATTTAAACACGTTTGTGTATGCATGTGTGTGAGATCGGCTGTTCATTCTTCAGTCTTATAAATAGGGCAGGGATCCAAACTAAACAAACACTAGTGATTCTTTTTTCCATGGCAGCACATTTACAGTGTCCTACTCTGACAATGTCATTGGCTCTCGGTTGTTTTTCTCTGTAGATCAAATGACCTCTCCTCAGTTTTCTTCTTCACTTTGATACGAGAGTGTTTGATGCCGTTGTCTGATGGTGTGTTTACGTGCCTTTGGCTTTTCACTCACGGACTAATCATATATGCAGAGGCACTTAGACTTCCCTGTTGCTGGATGTCAACAGCTGTTTGGAAGGTATTGAGAAGAGGAAGCCAAGCAGGACTGCATATTATAATGCCGGTTTAGCATATATTATTCAGCTGAAAAACAACAAGAAAAAAACACTGGTTTACCTTTCCTCTTATTAAAATTCACTGTGGTTATTATTCTAATGGTTCTTAGTTTTTTATTTTCTGAGGAGAATTACATTGCGTTGATTATTGTCGTTTTTATCAATCCTTTATGTCTGAGGTGAAACACTGCAAAGAGCTGCTTATTAATCGCTCTGCCATCACCGTTGGCGAAAAAATCATATTAGGAGAAAGAATGAAGTTTGACTTGATCTCATTTACTAGTAATAAACATTCTAAACATTATTTTGTGCAAATATCTTTGTACATGCAGCTTCTTAATCTTATCAGGGCAATTGCTCTTATGAAAACAACCAAATTATTTTCACATTTTATTGCTATCATTACACTCAAACATACATTATATCATTAGAGGATTATCCAGGGACAGATTTGATGAGAGCCTGGCTTGTCTATTGACTCGTCTAAAAGCCCCAGGATTCCTTTAGCTATGCAATGCCCTTCTTCTGATGTTTTGTTCCCTTTTTGAACCAGCGGCAGAGTAATATGTCCCATATGCCATCAGGAATTTATCCCCCACAGAAAAAGTATGGAAACAATAGAGTGCTTAGGTCTCACCCACCCAGAGCTATAAAGTACAGATGCATTATGTTCACAATTGTCCCTCCTTGCTACAAAGTCATCTCTGTCTCTTGTATGTTCTGCCACTTTGTGCGTTTGAATGGCGTTCATATACTGGCGTTTCTCATCATGGAGTCAAATTGTCAGACACACACACACACACACACACATGCAGAGTGACACAGGAGGAGAGAGAGCAAAGAAGGAGTTCATGTTGAGGTGTTACTCTTTCTCTATTCAGTGTCATCTAATCTTTGAAGCCTAAAGCAGTCCACTCACCCCTGGCTTGGCAAATGCCTGGCTGCATATATGTGAAAATGCACCTTCCCCTCTCTAACCTTTTCCCTATTGTTTTCTGATTATTTTCTTCTGCTCACTTCTCATATGCCATTGTGGGGTCATAACAACGGATTCCAGTCTGAAAGGGACTAAATCACATCACTGCACAAAAAATCCGTCCAGCTGTTGGAACTGAACTTCTTGATTCACAGAAATAACACAATATCTGCTGATTACCAGCGGCACTTTAGCTCCTATCTGCCATGAAGAACTTTTCTCATGTTAAATTGATGAACGTACTATGGAACTCTATTTTTGCTATTGAAGAGTTGAGAATAAATAGTTTTCTCTTTTTTATCTATTTGTACATATCCCTGTGTGTGCGTCCGTGTGTGTGAGTGTTCATATGTGTGTGTGTGCGCACATGTTACACAGCAGGCCGATCATGCCTCGGGCATTTTCTATTTTCTAAAGCCTTGTCAAAAGAAGGGAGCTAACAAACTCACTGGTGGCAGTACAGCACACTGAGGCAGTGGATGCTATAATAACATTTCCTGTCATCTTGCTGCTGTCGGCACAGCTGCGTCAGGTGAGCAGTAGGGTCGCACCTTCACTAACGCTTACTTGTCTCCTGTTCTGCTCCCCTTGTTCCCCTCCCACATCCATTCTAATAGTCCCAGAATCACCTGCTCTATTTACATGCTGCTAATGAACAAACATTGGTAGGAACAGATGCCACCAAAACAACAAATGTAATAAAAGGCTTGGGGTGGAAAAGGAGCTGCGAGTTTAGGAGGAGGGAGGTAGCAGTGATGGAGGAGGCGGGGGGGGCAGAGCCAGTGTGTGGGCGAGACAAAACACTGAAGAAAAATTTAAAGCTCCACCTGGGAAGATTTGTTTGCGATTTGGAAGCATGCAGTAAGTTGCAACTTGCCCCTTACTAAAATTAAAGTCTCACTTTAATAATTTTTTTTTTTTTTTTTTTTTTTTTTTTGAGTGAATAAAAACTTATGTAGAGCAGCTGAGTTCTATTAAAGAGAAAGAGTGTGAGCATGAGAGGTATTTGTTACACTTGAAGTGCTGTGTATTTTAGATGGGCGGGGGGTATTTACAATTTGTTTCAAGGGCCGTTTTACATTATGTGCCTGCTGTGCTGAGTGACTGGATAACTCAGCCAAGTAACCATGGTTGTTGAATATGATTGTCTGTGTCACCTTAAAATATTAATTCACATTTATTCTGGTAGCTATTTAATTTTTCTGATAAAACTAGCACTAATGGATACAATTTTAACTATAAAGGATTGTGACAGAGAAATTCTACTTATTAAGCATGACTGAATGCTGGCTAATTTAACACTTGAAAGTCACTCCCATGGTGCAAACAGTTTAAACCCTTCTGGATCCTGTACTAGCCCAGGGCACTCGTGATGTGTATGTATCTCCATCATCAATCTGCTGCCAGTGCTACTGCTGTATATATATTCTGAGTGTGTGGGACTGATATGTGCTAACAAGCCCAGGTGAGCATGGCTAGCCTCACCTCCTAATGCGCTAATAAATGCAGTGGTTTGACAAACCGCTGTCTATGTTAATATATTCGCCTTCACTTCCCTGTGACAAGGTGGGGTAGTAAGGGCAGGTAAACAACACACTGCTGCTGGAGGGTTGATGGATACAACCTGGTGCTTGTATGAAAGTATGTGTGTGTGTGTGTGTGTATGTGTATGTTTCTCATCCTGACACCCTACTCTTCTGAACTTTGAGTTGACAAGGAGCAGATGTCCCTGAATTCATTTTTCAGTATTCCATTAGCTAACAGATGTTAAGTGATAGCCTATGCAAGGAAATGTCATACAGTAATGAAATACTGCAATTTAATCTTGTTTTATTAACATCAAATGAAAACCCATATCTCACAAAAATACTTAAAAAAAAAGTATATTCTGTAGATGTATGTAGTGCCATTACATAAAATATAGAAGATAATAAAGACTGAATTAAACATTTCTACTGAACCTACCTGCGACTTTTGCAATTATATTAAAATAAAAAGGAAACATCACCAAGTTCTAGCACTAACCTGTCTCGGCTCCGCCGGGAAGGGAAAGCAGCATTGCAGCCAGCCACAGTGCACACATGCATCTCTTTGAGGTGCACATTCTTGTAGTGCAGTTTCATGCTATAGGAGCTCTTGAAGCTCTTCTTACAAACATAGCAGATCTTGGGGTCAGGACTTGAGCACGGATCCCCCTCTGGTGATTGAGAAGAAGGGAATTTGGGTGGGCTGGCACCGTAGCCCATCGAAGAGATGAAGCTCTCATGCAGGGCTGCCATACTTGCAGCAGCGGCAGCAGCTGCTGCCATGCCTCCATTATACAGGCCATACTGGCCCATGCAGAACATGTCATAAGTAGGATCGTTGAGTTCTTCCTTGATCTTGATAGGGGGCTGATGAGGGGAGGGTGATGAATGGCACTTGCCTTCCATTTCCTTTCTCAAATGGGCTTCCTCACCACCCTCATCGTCATGATCCTTGTCCAGACCCCTTCCACCCCTGCTGTGTTTTTGCTGTTCCTCCACATCCATGAGCTCATCACGGTAGAACATCTTGGAATCAGAGGTTTCAGACTCATTCTCAAAGTCCCTCTCATGGTCCTGATCCTCAGAGGTGAAGCTGTCCATGCAACGTAGCTCACCAGAGCCTCGCAGATCATTTCCACCCCTGCTGTCGCTACCAGTCCCTTCCCGGCATTCATCTTCACTCTGTCTCATCATGCCTCTCAGAGCTAATCCAGGGCTCATCTCATCTTGAGAAGGGGATTGCTGTCCACTACCACCACTGTGGTTCCCAGTACCACTGCCACTGTTGTTGCTGTGACAATTTCCATTAATTTTGATATTGTTGTGAAGAAGGGATGACTGGTGATGGTGGTGATTTTGGTGCATGTTATCATCGTCATCCTCATCTTTGTCATCGTACTCATCTGCCACATCAATCACTTCCTTCTCAATCTTCACTGGCATGCTAGATTTACGAGGCTTCTTTTTCGGCGTGGGGTCACTGCTGCCACTGGTGAGGTCCTGATTGGCTGTTGGTGTAGGTAAGCGGTGGGACATAGGTCCAGCCTCTGACACATGAACATTATTATGTGAAGCCACAGCTGCAGCAGCCAGGATCTGCTGCTGCTGGTCCATTAGGGTGGTACTGTTAGTGGTGGTGGGCAGGATGGGGCTGGTGGGAAGTGACACTGGAGGACTGACGAGATCAGCAGGGGACAAGAGTGTACGGTAGAATGGGGGTACTGGCTGGACTGGCTGCACTGACTTCAGGGAGGGGAACACCAGTGGACTTTGCAGGGGTGACTGAAGCATAGGGTCTACTGGTGGAGTAGTGAAGCCCAGTGGTGGCCTTCCAGGGCTGGTGAGTGTGAAGCCACCATTCTTGGTGCTTGAGATGACGGGTGTGCCAGTGGTTGAATTGGCACGAATGAGGTCCTTGTCGCGGTTATTGCGCAGCATGGGCATGTGCAATCGCGGATTGGGGTTGGCACTGTGACGGTTGCGGCTGCGAAGTGAGCTGAAGACCATATTGCAACCCTCAATGGTGCAACGGTGTTTGATCTTCAAGTGTACAGCATTATAATGTATCTTAAGTGTGCCTTTATCATAAAAGGTTTTGCCACAAGAGTTACAGCACACGCGACCCTTACGTGAAGTGGCTCCCATGCGGCGCATGCGATGCATCTTGGAGGAAAAGGAGGGATGGGTGATGGTTTTAGACTGCTCATCCTTTACAAAGTGGTGGTGGACCTGATGGTCACTCAAGCTGTTGGGTTGCTGAGGTTGATTTTGGGACTGCTGTTGGCCCTGTTGCTGCTGGAGCTGTGTGTGCTGTTGCTGCTGTTGTTGAGCTTGCTGGGTAGAAGGGGTTGGCGAGATGGGTGATGCCCTGTTGTTGGGCTCTGTCTTGGGTTCAATGTTGTTGTTAATGGCTCCCATGGCTCCACGGCTAGGACTCTGGCCTGTGCGAAAGGGTGACAGAGACACTTCTGACTCACTGGTCTCCACCTGTTCACCTTGGTTTGGCAGGCTGGGCTCCCGGAGCCGGAGGGCAGACTGCTCCATAGGCAGGCCATTAGGGGGCAAGCCGAGCATGGGGGCAGAGACTGGGTTGATGTACTGGAAGGGAAGGAGGAAGGCTAAGCTATTGGGAATATTCTCGAAATGGTGAATGCTCGATGGGCTACTGTTTTCCAGATGTGTCAGGAGTCCAGGGCTGCGGGTCCTGTTGTTGCTTTCAATGAATGTCCTAATACCGGAGTCTGTCTTGGAGGAGGGAACTGTTACTGCCTGACCTTCCTTCTCCTGAATGGCCATCAGCTCCACAATGGACTTGGTCTCACCAAAGCGAAGGAACTGCTGTAGGGTGATGATCTCTTCTTCTCTGGACATGATGGTCCAGCGGTCCAGCACCTTGCCTGCAGCATCCTAGATGCCCAAGAAGAGACAAGAGAGAAGACAAAAATACAAACCATTATTGATTGTGCATAATCAGTGTGGTCAAAGGAAAAGATAGAGCAGGGGTTAGTTTGTAAGGGCAAGCTTTTCTGCTCATGAAATTCAGAGGCCCCTGGAGCGACATGCAACTAAATCTCCCCCCTCCCCTGTCATTCTTTCCCATCTACTTTTTTCTATAAGCCAGCCCTACAAATGTGATCATTAATCACACAATGATGAGAGTAGGCAAGAGTTTAATTGAGTCTCAAGCAAACAAATCAAAATCACTGAGGTTGGGCTATCAGCAAGTCTATGTGACTTCCAGAACTGTAGGGATGTGAGACTCAGTAAAACAGCTTTGTAAAAGACATGGACTCTTGCTGTAACTCCCTCTGTACACAAACGGTACCTAGGGATATTTACAAAATTGTGTGAGCCAGAGAAAAAGTGGGTAACAGAAATAATAGAATAATTAATGCAAGCCACTAATCGCACCTTGGTTGGCAGGATTTTTTCTGTGTGTTCTCTGTCTCTGAGGCCGTGAAAGGCTTGAGGGAGGATGGGACTGCTACACTATGTATTAGGGAATGGCTATGGACATTCAAAGAGGAAAAACTCATGTTTATTTAAGGTTGTGTTGCAGGATGCCTTGACAGTGACATTGAGCTTGTGTTCCTTTGCATATTTATCATGCTTTTATGTTACTGAAGTCCAAAGGATGTATAACCTGTGTTAGCTTAAATATTTATCATGTCAATACGTTAGTAAGGTTTAAAGGATGCACAACCTGTTTCACCTTAAATATTAATGATGAAGTACTTTTTAATAAATGACCATGGCATTACAGTCACTCTTAACTAATGATGCATTTTAGTTGACAGTGGCTGGAAAAGGGCAAAAATGTAAAATAACAAATAATAACAATAGATTATTTATAACAACACTTTGGATTTCCTGTTCCTGTGTTCTGCTGTTTCCATCCTAAGAGACCAGAACTACTCCAATGGGACTGTGGCGTTATTCCAAATACAACACTTTACTTGGCCAGAGTCTTTCGGAGATGTGCTATTCATGGTTGAAAAATAAAAAGCTTAGACTCCATGAAAATGTGCGCATTGTCAAACATCAAGAGATGGCAAGGGATTCTGAATTGACTTTGTGGTTGAGCTACTAAGTTTGAGGCAATGAATGTTTGACCCAGTACTTTTGTCCCTGTGTATGAACCCACATCTTTTGCTGCTTCATAGCACTGATGACAGAACTCTTCACAAAATTATACTCATACTGTATAAATGCTGCCACAGCTGTTGTTATATAAGATGGTATGAGTGTTCGTGTGAACAAGATAAAAATAGATGAAAGAAAGAGGGAGAGAGACAGTGTAAATACTGCAATTCACACATGGGTTCCTGGGGGACCAGACGCAAGTGACATCAAGGGAGCAACACAAGCGATGACAATTAGTCACAGTGAAATGGTAACATTTCAAATGTGCTCCTAGCTGCTGGCATCTATAAAACATAAATGGCAACTCTGGTGAGTAAAAAGCTGTAAAAACCAACATCACAAAGCACAAAGGGCCTGTAAGGAGAAAACAGAAGATAAATGTTTTAGGAGAGACAGCGAAAGAGAGATAGTAAGGGAGAGACACAGAGGAAGAAGAGCAGAAAAACAGAGAAAATAAAAGTGTGAGTGGTTTCATATCATGCCCTCAGATATACTGGAGAAATAGATTCTTCTGAGACGAAACATCAATAGTCACTGGGGTATTTGTTGTTAAATATACATTAAAAAACATTTTACACTTTCATTCTGTGTGCGCTCTGGAGTTTTTGCCTGGAGGTATGACTTTAAATTCTAGCCTGGGCACTATTATTTCATACTGCATGGCCATCTGGGCATTAGTACTTCCATTTGATTTAATTGAAACAAAAAATGAAAGCAAATTAGAAAGTGAATCTTTAAATAGTTCAACAACCAGAACATTTCTTAAGAAATTGTAGTTCTAAGAAGTGGAGCAGTCTTTGATATTTTCTAGTGACAAAAAAGATTAATTTGTGAGTGTTACATTTAAATACACTAGCCTACAATTACAACTCTGATTAGTAGAAAAAATCATAAGTAAAATTTAAGTGTATAATTCCTACGAATAGGGTCTCTGCTGCAGCAAATAGCAATAGGGAGTACTTGCATTTTTGGGATCATTCGTAGGCCACGTTTAACTCAATTTAAGCCAGTTTAAGACCTCTTAATATCACTTTCCAAGCTGCCCCACTTAGATGTTTGCTCTTCAAATTAAGATTGAAATAACATTAATAAGAACCACAAGCTCCCAAAAATGAGGTAATCTTAATAGGAGCTCCATTAATAAGTGTGAAGGATTAGTCTCGAGAATTAAGTCAAATCATTAAGTAAAAACTAGAAAAAGCTTTGCATTTTTACACACATCAAAAAGATGGCTTGACCAGTGCCGCCCATCAAATTCACACACAGTGATCCACACCTGTTGCAATCACTGACTGGAGAAAAACAGGGTTTAGACATTTATTTTATCCTCTAGTAGTCCGACCCCGCGCCTTCACTTCCCTACACATGAAGTTAAACAAAAGCCAAAACACAGTGACACAGGCCAAACTGCAAACCATTAGTGCGTGGAGGGGCCAGCGAGCTGTCAGAACAGGTCAGCAGTTCTGCTATGCACAGGACCCTGTGAGGAGGCTAGAGGACGCTCTCCAAGCCCTCCTCGTTCACTTGGTCAATTGAGTTTTGGAGGCCAGTCAACAAGCATTGAGGCTGGGGTCGGGCTTAGAGCAGAGAGTCGATACAAATTCAAAAATGGAACAAATCGGCCCAGAAAAGGATGTGAAGGGACAAACCTGATAACTCAGTCTCTGTGAAAACTACTACTGGTTTTTATGACAAGAACCTTTCAATACACGGCTGTTTGTTAAATACTATTGCAGTACCTCATTCATGACACTGGATTTATCTTCATTTCCAGACAAAAATGCTTAATGCAGATAACCCTCATAAAAAATTATAAACGATCAAAGGTGTAAAAAAAAAAAGGTGCATGAATTGTACGAGAGTGACTTATCTAAAGTGTGTTGACACACATTTGTAGACAAACAGAGGCCCCTGTAGTCCTTACCACAGTAAGTCTCACAACTCCACTCCCCTGCATTAGCCTTGTGATGCTGTGAGAGAAACAAATATGCCATTAGAAGCACTTTTACAAGTAGGCACTCATCTTCCAATTAGCTTAATGTGGCCCTCTTTCCCCTATATTTTCCAGGCGTGCCCCACCTCTTCTTGTACACTCCCTCCAGGAAAATCTCATTAATCCACCCCTCCCCCATCTCCACCAGTGCTATGACATATTAGTCTGTCATTATGCATCCCAGAGTCCTTTAAACAATACAGCTAAACCTCTGTTTGCCAGGTTAATGACTATTAGCCAGTAATTACAGAAGAGAGACGATAGGGTACCCACTTTATCTGGTGGACAGCCCGCTGCTGTTAGTTTATTTTATCTGCCTGCCTCCATGTCTCTCAGAATTAATCTAGCAACGGCTGTATTTATTCATCTCTCTGCCGCTGCGATGCATTCTTAATTCATGGCTGTCTCTAATACTGTGGCGCTGGATGTTGTGTAGTGGGTGTGTAGTCGGGTATCCACCTTGCAAATTGCCGACAATGAGGATGAGCAAATGATGGCCTTGTCATGGACCAGGGCACCACTGTCAGTTAAAACAAATCAGGCAATTATGCAATTAGCAGGTTGTATGCCGGGCTGTATTAAGAGCCGGGGTGTGAAGCGTTGTTAGGTTGCATAGTGTGCATTTGGGATTAGCAGCTTAACATGTATACGCTTTTCACTAATCATCACCTATCATACTCAGTGGCTGAGTCTATTTGGCAAGCATGAAGAGAGATGCTATGCTAAGCACACAGCAAAAAAAGGAAAATATTAGCTATTAAAACAACGTATTGACCTGTGCCTGTATACACTAGATCAAATGGGAGATCTCCAACTCACATAGAGCCTTTCTCACATAACATCTGCGATATTTACATTTACTGGCATGATGTGCAATTGTGTACATCTTTGTAGAATGACAGCTACACTGGTCCCACGTTAACATCACGGCAGTTCAACTGATCATGAGACAGTTGCACTAGGAGGATCAGTTCTCACAATGGCAAAGTGAACCATGGGAACCACATTGATTCACCAATCACCTTGCAGTGAATGCGATCTCCACCGCGCCTCGAGGGAATCCCCATTGATCTCCAGTCCTGCTTTCAGATCCAGTTCCTTTAAAAAACTGCTCTATCCCTGTGTTCGCCACTTCAGGGGAGGTTAAGCAGAAGTTCCTTGTGATCTGAGAAGGTCTTGAACCTTGGTGCTTCTTTTTCCATATTCTGTTTCTCCCCCGCCCCACCCCACACCATATCGGGCCGTATGAATAATGCAGAGGATCTAGTGGCAAGGGGTATCGTGGGGGATGGGTTCACGCAAAGCCCACTGCCTGGAGCCATCACATCAGAGGGCAGGAGCTCCCAAGACATAGGCTGCTCCCCCATTGGCTCCCCAGTGGCAGGTCAGAGGTCATGTGTGAACAACCAGCTCTACTTCTTCCCCTGTGATGGACCTCAGGGAAATCAGTAGCTACGTCCAGACGTGGGTGGAGGACATTTGTAAGAATCATAGAGGTTGAAATTTGCACTCTGTGATCATTGTAAATTCCTCCTTTATGCTATGCGCATCAAAAGAATGCGTTACTATGGATGTGACCTTGTGTATCTACCTTAGATGTTGGATGTTTTCTAAACTGCACAAGCAATAACTTCTTCTTCTCTACAGCAAGAAGATAATCTACTGTACATAGACATATAGTTCAGTAGTCAACAGTAAAATCATGTCATCCTATCATCAGACGGACAGAGTAGTGTCTCTGTGGAACAATCAATTACGTCACCTTGCGGTA